TACAAAAAATATGGTAAATAGAAACTTAGTCTATAAATAATATGAAAAGATATTAACCGGTCATTAATACATATAAATTACTATAGAGAACAATTCATTGTTATAAGATGAATGATGTCTATAAAGAATAAAAGCTAGAGTTGGGATCTCAATTTGCTAGCAGATTTTTGTTGGCTGTTTTCATCTTCAAATTTTTTTGCATAAGATGAGTTTTTACAGTAGACTTGAATTCAAACTTATAACTGCTTTTGGTAAATTCTGGGTTTCATGATTTTAAACTGTTGTATGTATGTTGTATGTTCTAATGTAAAATGCATGATTCAATGAAGGGTTTTTATCGAACACAGTGTTGTCCGATGAGAGTCCCTTATCGGTCATGCCTTGACCTATGAGGTTCATTGAGTTTTTATGTTATTGTCCGGTGAGGAGTTTACTGGATGAAGCTTTGTCCGGTGAGGAGTTTACAGGATGAAGCTTTGTCCGATGAAGACCTTTATCGGACAAGGGTTGTGCAGATTGGGCACCTTATCGCCCATGTGTTGAGCGGATTAAATGTGTAGAGTTTTAAGTGTTGATCGATGAGACTGTGTCCTGTCATAGTGTTTCCCAGTGAGGTAAGTTACCGAAGACAATGTTGTCCGATGAGGATGTTATTATTATTATTATTGATGAAATGTTGTCCGATGAGAGGTTATCGGCTATAGAGTTGGTCGATGAGGGGCAGTCATCGCCCAGAGCTTGTCCGATAAAAACTGTTATTTTCCAAAATATTGTTTAACAGTTTCAAAACTGTTTTGTGTTGAGGAGAGTAACATGTATCTTTCAAATGTTGAGTTTAAATTGAGAAAATGTAATGTTGTTTCTTTTACAACTGTTAAGATGAGAAAACTGTTCTTGAAAGAATGTTGAGATGATATTGAAAAGTGGATTTAAGAACTGTGAAAGTTCTTGAGATAAAGTTTCTGATATGAAACTGTTTTGAGACCATTATTGGCTAAAACTACAGATTTATCTGTAGATTTAATGAGAAAACAAGGGTGTCATATCAATGAGGTATAGATTTGGACAAGGGTGGCAATTGTGTGTGTGCTACTATTATAACTCTTGTTGTCACATCCTTAAGATGCGATAATTCTGAGTCAACATTTCTTTGTGACTTGAAGACTTGGAAATATTGCTCTTATTGAAATGATAACAACGATGTTATTGAGAAGTGAAAAATGGCTTATAGCCTGAGGCATTAATTGCCCGTGTTTCAAATGATTTTGAGATATCAGATATCATATTTTGGTTGTTCAATAGAGTTAAGATTTGAAATAAAACCCGGAGGGTCTGTGGTTATTATTCAATTTAGTTTTCATTTGAGTTTAAAATTGTTTCTATCTTAAAAGCTTTTATTAATAACCAAGAACTCTGGTGATTGGTATTCTTTGTAGAATTTGGAACTTGTGACTATAAGCTCTAGTCTGATGAGATTTAAGAGCTGCGGAGAGTTTTGTTTCATATGTTTGTGAGAACCTGAGTGGTATTTTATCCTTTGTGGTAAGAAATGCTTTTATAACTTGTAGTTGTTGTATCATCGAAGTTATATTTTATTAAAGTGGTTGGATGTTCAAATGTGGATTTTATAACATGTTTGGTGATCTTCACCCTGTAATTGCAAAGTAGGGTTTTTTTTACTAGACCTCATGGTCTAACCCTCATTTTTTGTCTTAAAAATATGCATTGCAGGTCCCGCTGGGTCTAGGGATAAGGGGAAGGGGAAAATGTGATTATTTTCCAAATGTGTTTAACTGCTCTGTGGAGATTAGCATTATATATGTGGGGTTTTTGGAAATACATGTTGTTTCTACATGTGATGTACAAGAATATTATTTTGAGATTTTTGGGTTTTAAATTATGTATTATAATTTCTTGTACTAGTGGGACCAAAGCTGTATTCTTGTATTTCTTTATATATGGAATACATGTTTATATGCAAATGTGGAACATGGGGTGTTACACGTCTTGTCCTTCTAGGCTCCGCTGCGTTTAATTGAAGGAGAACATGTCCAACACGATGCAATACAGAAGGATCGCGGGCAAATATTCCTGAAATTTTTTCATCATCATGGATACGTCATTATTAGCATAGGCTATTAATAAACAGTGATAAAGAAATCTCAGAATAATGGGGGAAGAAAATATCCAATAGGTTGACTACAAGAATTCAAGTAGTTGGTCAGTTTCATACAAACTAAGAGGCTCAATACTCCACATAAGTTGGGTTGCATTTCAAACATTTCATTGTGAAACAAGTGCTTCATATACATGAATGCCAAAGAAGCTGCAATAAAATTGAAGATCTCTAACTGACATGTAGTTTGATAAAAAAACTGAAAGGCTAAACGAAAAACATAGAACATACCAAGACTACATACCAACAATGTCTAAACTCAGTGAATTTGGGAGAACCCCAATAGTGGATATAACTCCATGTGAAGGCCGAAATCCAAGGACGCCACAATATGCAGCTGGAATTCTCATTTCCCCGATTGTATCAATGCCTGAGAAGTCAACCAAAGGCATATGTCATACGCATTTCACCGGTTTAAAAGTCATGAAGAAAAATCTCACATGAAATAACAACAATCTCTACTTTTATACACATGACCACAGTGAATCCTTATTCTCAAGATTCAAGGGTATTCCTATCACACAGCAAACTGAACTAATTTGAATCATATTTAAGCCATTAACATAGTGCACCTCCATCTCCAACTGAGGCCACCAGGAAACCTCATCTGCTTCAAAATTTTGTTAAAGGGTAGCTATATCTACTTTATAAGAATTGATTATTTTACATGCTTGACTGCTTGTAGTTTTAAACATTTGAGTTTCACTCCCTTTTTCGTGAGGGGAAATGGACGAGAATGAAGATAAAGAAAAGAAAGATTATTTTCAAATTACTGTAAGTGCTTGCATATTCCCTTTGTCAACATTTTCATCTCCAAATGATAGAACAATACCGATAGCAAAATCAACAAGCTCTGTTGCAACAACACCAGCGGAACCACGAGACAATCCACCAGAGATATAAGATGGCATTGTTGGGGTCCCATAATGTGAATTTGCTCCAGTTATCCTGAAATCATAGACCAGCACTCACTTCCAAGATAAACTGTGAATCGTCATTTACATAAACTTTGCAAAAAGATAACGAAGCTATCACAGAAAACAAAATGAAAAAGAATGAGTGAATGACAAAGTCTCCTTTGTAATTAAGTAGGTATTTTTTTTATCTTCAAACTTAAAGTGGCCATTGCCAAAATGCCCAACTAACCAGTCTTGGAACATATGTTACACATTAGATACAAAAAGAATTGCGATTAACACCAAAAAACATATTGTGTAATACTTGAACAAACAATGTTTGTGCAACTTCTTGTCTTTACAACAAGGCATATATCAATAATGTAATTGTCTTAATATACTAAAGATAAAAACAAAAAACGAAAGGAATACCGAAATGATAACTCGTCCATGACAGTCTTGCCAACACAAGTAGCCCCATTCTTCAACATAGTAACAACAATAACAGTCTTCCCAGCTTTCTCATGGGCAATCTGGGTTCCCAAAGCCACTCACATACTCTTTCACATCAAAGCTACAACATAACAACATAATTCAACATAAATTAATCAATGATCCAACAATAGTTTTCTCATGGGATGAAGATAAAAGACAACCAATATCTTTATACTACTATCATAAAACTTTCTATTTCATCCACAATCCTGAAGAAACAAAGGATCCCTGCACAAAAAATGGCATATTTTTATACAGTATCGATGAAACATGAATTTAGAAAAGAAAAATCCAACATATGAACACAACCTCACACTTGATGATGCTTCTCTTTAATCCTACCATACAGCTCTTATAGATGGATTGTGACTTAGGGTTTGAGAGATTTTAGGGGATATTTGAATTTTGATTTGCATTTCATTATCTTTTTCCTACCATACAGCTCTTATGGATGGATTGAGACTTGGTGTTTGAAAGATTTTAGGGGATATTTGAATTTTAATTTGCATTTCACTATCTTTTTCTCAACAATATCAATGGACTTGAGAGGTATCTGGAGGTTAGATTTTAATAGTTGTACATAGACATTAATTATTTGTAAATATGAATGTTAAGTAATTAAATATTAAAATGTAATACTAAAAGTATAAAAAGTTGTATTTAAGAACTTTGAACCAAATGCATTATCTATACTACTTTATAAACCAGATTTATCAAAAGTCTTAAAAACAATTTTTAATGCACAAAGTACTATACATTTATGCACAAAGTCTTAAAAGTCTTAAAAACAACTCATAATGCATTAAGTACTACTACTTTATGCATTTAGTCTTAAAATCTCTTAATCTACAATTAAAATAACATATAGTACAAGTTATCAATGCACATTATTACCTTTTTTTTTCATGTTCCCAAGATACTTTTTACACATTTCACTCATGCCTTCACCTCTTATACCTCTATGTCTTCTCCCCATCCCGCAAGGTGAGATTCAAACTGATATTCACCATTAGTTATTAAAAGTTCTTCCATTCATCTCCCATTCAATTGCCCTAGAACTTTCGGTCTCGATCTCGATCTCTTGATTCGTTGCTCTTGGTGTAAATCGAACACATTTGTGGATTCGTTTAAATATATTGGATTTTAAATATATTGGATTTTAAATTATCATACAATTTTTTTCATCGATAGACTGTAATTGGAACCATAACTCTTATTTACTCAAATTATATTAATATGTAAAGACTAAGTGTAACTTATATGATCATTAAATCTTCTACAATAAAACCAATGAAACTTCAAAATCGTTAAAATTTACGGCTCCCGTCACATTGAATGGATAAACAACTAATAATATAGCATAAATATAGATTTGCATCCTTAAAGAGCTCCAATCAAATAAATACACGTGCTCTGCCCGGAAAGTGGTAGACGGAACCGAGGTGTGCACAATACGCACCAGGCGCAAGATGATTAACGCACACTTCCATTGAATAAAAAGAGAGCCTCCCCTTTTTTCTCTCGCAACTTCTTCGCCCTCATCTTTCTGTCGACGGCTGTGGTTTTAAACCCCTTTTTTTTCGGTACTCATCATCATTAATCTTCTCCATCAATTTCTAAATTCTCGAACTAATCTGATTAGATCTACAATCTGTTCTAGCGATCTGTTAATTAGGGTTTTTACACATATTGGGATCAATGTTTGAAAATGGTGCCTCTGCAGGTGATTCGTTTGAGCGACGTTACTTTGCAGTGTTCGTGTATAATATTCGTGTATCATTATGTGAGTCATCTCTGGTTTGTTCAATTTATCGGGTTTATCTAGTTTAATTGGTGTGTATGGAAGTTTTTTCTGCAAATTAGTGATAAAAGATGCCATTTACGTTTGTATGTTTATCTACGTGTAGTACTTCCTGCGTCTTTAGATAAATCAGTAGTTAATCCCTGGCTCAAAAGCATGAATTTTAAATCCAGGATGTTTTCTGAGAGTGCTTTTTGAAAGGCTGAAAGGTTTTGCAGCTAAGAAACAAAATCTTGACTGTCTTCCAAATCTTTTATCTCAAGGTTGTGGAACCCTGATAGTAGAATACCTACCTTCCCTCGTTGAAGGAGAAATGAATCCAGCCTACTAAAATATGGGCTGGAGCACCACTTCAGTGTAATTGCGAATACTTTTTACTTGTAAGCACAGAACACTGGAATTAGTGGGATTACAAATTGCACCGTTGTTGGCATGAACTGTTATGTTATTGAGATTCTTTGGATATTGTCACAAAGGGAAACATCTAGTGGGTTGAGAACATATACAGAGAATGCCACTTGCTATATAGTAGAAACTAAAAATGTTGTTCCTTCTGTTGAACACTTAGATCTTTTGCACCCCAATTCGCAACTATCTTCAGAACTCGTTAGCTACTTATTTTGGCATTGCAGTGTACTTTTCTGTCACCATTTGTAACTTTATTTAAAGTTTGTTTTGTTTGGATGATATATTTAATGGCCAATAGATTTGCTACTGTTGTGTGTTTGAGGTCCCATTGACGTATTACTTTGTTTCTCCATTCAAGGTCGGATGAAGAACCAGTTGACCAGAAGAAGTATTTTGAAGATTTATGCAAACCCAAGTGTGTTAGAGCTTGGCTTGACTATCAGGTTTTCTAATATACTAGGAATAAGAAAATTTTTCTTTCAGTTTGTACAGTTCATATGCACATTCATCTGCTGTCAGCCTGTCACATGTGTATTGTTTCTTCTTGCTGTTGCTTGGTGAGTCTCTTAAATAGTTAAATATAGTGGTATCCAAACTTCATTTGGGCGCATGGCCTTATGTCACTGATATTACCAAAATGGGTTTCACATCAGTGCTTGTGATCAAGGTAAAAAATAAGTGAGAGTGAGCACATTTCCAGTTGCCAATGGCCAAGTATGGGTCTCTGGTGAAGAAGATATAGAAGTAGTAATATTGAAAGGAATTTCCATTATGTTTTTAAGTTAAATATAACCAATATCTTACTTAGAATAAGAAGATATTTTTTGATTGAAGTTTTTTCTGAAGTATATAGTATTTATATATGGAAAATGTGACAAATTAACTCACTTGCCCTCCTCACCTTTTGTGAGGTTTGAACCCTTGACCTCCTGGGAGGTCGCATGCCTGAACCTTTGATTATTTGATTAAAGTTAGTGATAGGTAATTTACATTTACCCTCAATCATTAATTTTCTTGCAACAACATTATTAGCTTATCCAAATTTGACGATTTTGCCCGTAAAAGTTAGAAAATCATAATTGCTTTTGCTGAACATTACAAAATTGACATTTTTGCAGCACATGCAACCACCACTGAAATGTTTTATTGCTTGGGTTTTTCCCCATGGTTGTTGGAGGGCGGGGCGCAGTGTTCTTGTCTAAAAATACTAAAGAGTACACATGTCAAATGGCGTAAATCATGTAAATTGCAACTTTAAGAATGCAGCTAGAGAGTGTAGAGGTATTGCAAATATGTCCAGAGTAAAGTACATGGAATCATAGAATGTAGATGTTATGGACTTAGTACCTTGGTCACATGACGTTGCAAATGCTAAATTGCGCACTATTGAAATACTGTGCACTTGATGATGTTTACCATTATTGTATTGTTTTTCTTGAATCAGGTCAGAAAATAAATACGAAAACAAACTTCAGAATAGAACTGAAATTAATGAGTAACGAAACAATATAGCAAGTACTTATTGGCTTTTGTTCTTCTGTAACTCAGTTTTAGTGATTAATAATAAATAAATTAAGGGACTAGTTGCTTGTTGCTTTAAGCAAGTAAATACTAGTGAAGAAAGAACAAATCTAAAAGGGAAGAACAGAAAAGGCAATGGTGGTTATTTGATAATTTAACGAGCAAAGAAAGAAAAAAGCGTATGATGAGGCAATAAGAGGTGGTGGTAGTTTAGCAGAGTTAGACGGATGTTTGTCAGACGATTTAGGGCATTTGATTGATGTCCCCAATTATTGTTCGGTCTAAAATTTGGTCATCACAATTAACATATGGATGGACTATTTTGCTTTACATTTAACTATTTTGGGAATAAAATTCCATCTTTAGTTATTTTAAGCTAGATTTGGGCCTGTAAAAATTGCCATAGGGCTGCTGTGCAATGCCAAGGTGTCCCTGAGTTCTGCAAGTCGCTTGCCATAGTCATCTCATCAAGCCCCTTGCTATTTTGGTACCATGGTGATGCTGTAGAATTTGGAATTTGTTTTGCATACTCTTCTTCTGTGCTGTTTCAGGCTCACCAGAAATATACAGAGTAAAACATAGTTTTTAGATGATTTTAATTTTGATAATAATTTCAAACTGCATCTATCAATTTCTCAAATTACTTTGGGTCTTTTACGTTTCACATAAGGTCTGCCTAATACTACTTGTTTGTAAGCGGATGATTATTGAAACTGAGAGAACAAAAATACGTAGAGATCTTCCATGTTATCAACATGGACAGCCTAAAAATTCCTGTTTTTGTTCTATATATGCTTTAAATCTCTATCTAAACTATACCTTCCACCCAACTTTGAATTTGTGTTCTATGGTTCAAGCAAAGCAACTCGATATGATGGCTGGGAATAATGACTGACTGATAAGAACACTTTGGATCTTAGAATCGAACTACAGTTTTGTCCATTCTTGGTCATCATACACTCTGACAAGTTGGTTAAATCAGTTGAGATTATTTGTCTGGGATGAATTGATCGGTCAAGAGACATCTTTCTATGCATTTGAATGGAGAAGCAGTTTTGTTGTAGCCATTTTGGTTTTCATTGCCCTGATAAAATGATTCTCTCTTGCTATAATATTGAGGACAAATACAAGATAATCCTTTTATAGATAGCCGCTTGATGCCCATGATAATAGACATAGCCATTATGTGCTTTGATGACTAACAGTGACTCTTCGATTTAACTCCTGCGGTTATCTTAGACAACAATGGACCAAATAGTATGATTAATTGGGATTTTTCTGTGCTTCTCTTTATCTGTGCATGCATGCATGCATGCATGCTGGTACTGCTGTTAACATGATTAAAAATTATGTCATATTGGGTGTAAGAATTAATATGAATTAATATCAAACTGATTACCCACAAGCTTATCATGATTTAGTATAAATATAAGCTCTAATTTAATTTAAGTATGCAGTAGAGATTGTCATCTTTAGAGGTGACTACGGATCCAAGTTCTCATGGATCAGATTGAACTCTTATCCCTATACATATTTGCTGCTCAAACGTTTTGGAACTGACCCTTTGATAGCCTAATGGCTAATGCTCTATTTGGTTGAAAAGAATGAATTGTATTTGAGGTGCATCAGTTAATTGATCCATGTTATAAAACGAACTACTTTGCTCCTTTTTATTTGTTTGGTTTAGTTTCTATAATTATGGATTTGCAGTGACCAATTTGTAAGGATGACCTTTTCAATTCTTAGAATTATCTTCTTTGTGTGGACCCAAGCACCATAAATAGACATTTGTACAAAAATACCATTCTTTATCAAGATTTTCTGAATTCAAATTTGACATATTTTCATTTATAAAATGTTTTTGGCTAATACCATATTTCTTCCAAAAGTTGCAACAAATTTCTTTTTGGGATGTTATATATAAAATGCAACATTTTCTTCGTTTGACATGTTACGGAGTTAGAATGACCAATTCACCCATTTTAGTAATTACAAGATATTGGTTAATCTGTCCACTTGAGTTCCTCTATTTTATTTAAGATGCTTGAGTATATATCTCATCTTGCATCTCTTCTGAGTAGTTTCGTTTTCTTTACTTATTTGCTTTGCCATCGTGCTCCATTTACAGTTGTCACTCTGTAATTTTTAGTTTATTACAATGTGCAGGGATGTGTGAAAAGGGTTCAGGCAGATGAAACTGGCCACAAACATTGCACTGGGCAGTACTTCGATTATTGGCAATGTGTTGATAAATGTGTAAGCTGCTGCACATTTTCCGTATTTAATTGATCTGGCTGTGACCTCGTTTTCAATTTTTAGAACTGCCTTTCTTCCTCCTTTTTATTTCAAATTTATTTTGAGCAAGCTTTATCTTTCTTTTGACACACGTATAACTTACTTGGCGGCTGCAGGTTGCGCCTAAGCTATTTGCAAAACTGAAGTAGCGGAGGAAGATATATGTCAGTCAGGATGATACATTTTTCGGGTAAAATTAATACCTTGAGTTGAACATGAATAAGGAGCGTCTTAATTGGCATGAATTTGATTCAGTTGTTGGCCAGCTCTCATGCTGTGCAACTTAATGTTTATTCATCATCAAAACATATCTTTGCAGCAGTTGATCATGTTTATGTGTTCTATCAATTGTTTTGAATCATTTTCATCTTGTGGATCTCATTTTTGTTATGGAAATTAGATTCTCAAACATGCATCGAGTCTATTCATTATGAATAGAAATAGACTCGTCGTTTGCCTTGTGGTGTTATAAGTCGATTAACCATGTCTAACTTGGTTCTTTGGCATGCCGTTGGTCGTATGGTGGCATTGGATATGCATCTTGGAAGTGATTATTATGGAGATCCAAAGCCAAAAACTATGATTGGGGTTTTTAAAACTATTTGCTTGATTGTAACATCCCATTTTTTGAGGGTTAATCTTTTGGCACCAATGCGAACTTTTTCCTTTCAAAGTAAAATGATCAACAATCATTTTTTGAAAGATAAACCAAAATCGCTTTTAAAACTCTTTTTTTATGTGTGTGTGTGTATATATATATATATATATATATATATAGAGGAAAGGGTTTAAACGAGAACCTTTATGATTTATGAGAATGCGAGAACAACTTATTAACTTCATATTGTGATAACAATTAATATTAAAAGATTTCAAAATTAAAATTGAAATTTAAAAAGATTCAAAAGAAATTGAGATTCAGAAGGGTAATAATGGAAATCAATATTATAAAATCTTAAACACGATAGCATTATAATTTTCAAAATTAGAGTGATTATCCTTACCTTTATTAGGTATCGATTAAGAAGTTGATTTCAAGGAGAAATCAATGAACAAAGAAGCCGTAAAGCCTCATGAATCAAACATCAAATGGTAATCGATAAAGAAGAAGCGTTTGCATGCAACAATCGAACAAGAAGAAGAAGGAATACAGTTTATTCAAGGTATCTTTCACAATTACTCGATTTGAACATACTTTCATTCGATTAGGATTAGTTTACCACACATATATCACAACGATTACTGGCAAAATCGATTAAACGATTTTGTATGATATGAGTGTGATAATCATGTGATATCAATATCACTCAATTTGATCATGGTTTCGATGGGTTAGGTTATACATTATCACAACGATTTCGGATGGTTTCGATAAGTTAGAATTAGACAATCACACATTTATCACAATGATTACGGACGAAATCACTAAACTATTTGGTGTAATATTGGTGTGATAATCATGTAATATCACTATTATAACATCATTTGAGCACTCAATTTGACCATGGTTTCGATCGGTTAGGGTTAGACAATCACACATTTATCACAACGATTATTCATGGTTCCGATAGGTTATGGTCACACTTGATTGATCATTGTTTCAATAGGTTATGGTTACACAATCACACAATTATCACAAGGGAAGAGAAGAGAGTGGAAACGAACATGATCAATCCAGGAAAAAAAGGGATAATTATAATCAATTAAAATAAAATAAGAATTACTTAATTATATTACTGCTCTTATTCACTAGAAGGGTATTCGCGTAATACAGCGAAATACATTTTGATTTTAATGTTTTGTTTTATTATCTGTCTCCATTGATGTTATAATCTAGTATAAAAAATTAAATATTCTGTTAGAACTCAATGATTATCCTAAGTTTATTTTAGATATTTTATATTAAAAAATGAGATGTTTATCCCGTATTTGATTATGTTTATCTGTCGTTAGTTACACAAATTCAAACATAAAGCTTTAATAAGTTATACCTAGGGCTGTAAACGAACCGAACGAACGCGAACGGAGGCTTTTTCATGTTCGTTCGTTTAACTTAACCTAACAAACGAACGAACATGAACGCTAAACGAACGAAAATCTTTGTGTTCGTGTTCGTTCGTTTAGAAATCATATGTGTTCGTGTTCGTTTATGTTCGTTCGTTAACATGCAAAACGAAACATTAACGAACGGACTAAACCAACATAAACGACATAAATAAATATTATTTGAATTCAAAGTAAATAAATAAAAGATTATATATTAAATTTAATATATAAACAAACATAAACGAACGGTAAATAAACGAACGTTCACGAACATAAATAAACGAACGAGACTCTTGTTCATGTTCGTTCGTTTAACTAAATGAACAAAAAAAATTGTTCATGTTCGTTCATTTATTAAATAAACGAACATAAACGAACTTTCCGCCGAACGGTTCGCTGAAAGTTCGGTTCGTTTACAACCCTAGTTATACTTATGCACAATTACTTGTAATCTTGAATTTTAAGTAATATACATCAATAAACAGTATTTTGTGAATAAAAAATTATTTTTAAGAGTTTGTGTCAAATGTTTTATAATATATATATATATATATATATATATATATATATATATATATAGGGGCATAATCAAATGTGAATCAAT